CCCCCCCCCCCCGGCAGGCACACCACCTCCACCACCCCTTCCCGCCCAAATGCTCAAAGCTTCTTTGCCCTGGTCTTTCCTACAGGCCCTTCTCACTTATCAAATATTTAATTACCTCATTATTATAAAAAATAAAAATGATCTTGCTATAAATACATCATTATTTAATTTATCTTGTATAAAAAAATAGTTGAACGTGAAGCGGCTTGTATTTCCATATGCGCATAATTGCGAGGTATTTGCATGCGTGTCGTTATGCATGTGCAGGTGTGTTTGGACCAGCTAACTATAGGGAGCAGATTTAGAAGGTGCTTTGAGAGGATGCGCTGTTCTATATGTGTAAAAGACGGCACACATCACCACGGAGCCTCAAAGAGTGAAGCGCTGCTGGGAGGGGACCCTTCTGCGATCAACCAACAACAATAGACCAAACAAACTCTGCTGACCCAACCTCAACCCTGCAGTACATACGCTGGAGATCACAAGACCCAATGCAGGCAGCAAACATTAAGGACCAGTGTAGCCAAGCACCTCAGAGGTCACTGAGGACCAGTGTACCCAACGCTGATGGAACCTCAGAGGTCACTGAGGACCAGTGTACCCCACGCTGATGGAACCTCAGAGGTCACTGAGGACCAGTGTACCCCACGCTGATGGAACCTCAGACGTCACTGAGGACCAGTGTACCCCACGCTGATGGAACCTCAGACGTCACTGAGGACCAGTGTACCCCACGCTGATGGAACCTCAGAGGTCACTGAGGACCAGTGTACCCCACGCTGATGGCACCTCAGAGGTCACTGAGGAGCATTTTTCGGCTCAGATTAGAGCAAAATATAACAAAGTGTATTCCTGACTAAACAGGCTGTTGGAATCCTGCCGCATATTTAATTTTAACAGTATAATTAGCTGTTAATTGTGTTTTCGACTGCCGACACCTTACCCGATTCCCCTGCCGATTGCCACTCTTCGTTCGTGGCCTCCATTCTCATATAGAGGATGTTTTTTTTTATCTAATTAGATGCCTGTGTGATTTGCTCCCCAGAGGGTGGTGCCGGTGAGCACAGCGCTGCTTGTTTGCAGTCCCGCCCAGACTCCTCACTGGACAGCAGGGCCTTTTGCCTCTGACACTGCAGGGGAGCGAGACTGGCAGGCAGTCAGGCCGGTTCTCTCCCCCTGAACACGGAGACATGGGAGAATAACTACACTCTGCCAGGTAGGAACACGCGGCACGGATCTCTCGAGCTGCCGTGAATATCATTACTGCTTATTTGGCTTCCAGCTGGCGTTTCAGCTAAACAGAAAACGCACGCTATTCCTGCGCACTGTGTCAATGCGTCTGAAGCAGAATCGATTTAAAAAAAAGTCTTTGTGGAAACGGTGCTGGTGGCCGTGGAAAAAGATGAGGTTTCACAAACAGCCTGCCAAGGTATAGCGGAGAACTCAATCTGCAAATAGCATCCCGTCCATGCACGCAGCGCATCTGCACACGCGTGTGGATGTTCACGTGCTCCTGCCCACCGACGATGGCTGCCCCCTCTGGCTGTGGGATGTAATGATGTGAAATGGTGAGAAAATATTGCAAATGGTGGACGTCTTTACCCACTGTGTGAATCTGTTTACAACTTGTTTATAACTTGACAAGTACTGTTTCTGTTTCTTTTGTCGAACGTATATGTGTTCACAATGATTTGACAGCCACTTCATTGAACAATCACTTAGTTTTTTGTGAATGACATACAGCAGCACTCTCATACCTTCATCCTTACCGTCAGTACTTTAACCCAGATAGTCTTAGGCTGTGTAAAGAAAATCAGTCTTCTCTGTCATTCTCAGATAGCTGTTCAAAAAACACAGAGCAACCTGTGTCCGAGGAACATCTTCTGAGTTGTTTGACGTGCACTGGAGGATTGTTTCTGGTCAGGAGGTCAGCTTTCCAGCTTGTGTGAACCCCAAGTAAGATCACTATGAGTGCGCAGGGACGTCGCCGGGGCTGCGCAGACGGGTGACTGCAAAGCAGTGACTGCAGACTGCAGACTCTCCTCCGTCACCCAACCCTGACACCCACGTCGCAGATTTGTTTTAACCCTTTCCACTGGTCACCACAGGGTCTTACAAAAATACAGGAGTATTCCGGAAGAATTTGGACAGCTAAAAATATACCCTTAAACCCAATTTAGGGAATCTACAGTTCAAAGGAATTTATTTCACATCTACTGCACACAATAATACATTTTTATATAAATTCATCAGAAGCCAAAAAGGAAATATTAACGGGTCAAAACAGAACAAGAGGAAAAAAAAAAACTCATTTCTGTCCACTGTTGTAGTCCAGTAATTTCATTCCTGTTGCTATGGTCACCATATTCTTTAAAAAGTCATAAAAAACAGAGCTTGGCACGACATAGAAATCGCACACATACAGTAGCATTCAGACGATGTGGCGGGCCCTGCCCGAGGACGGGAGAACTCCCCCGCTGTGACGCCGAGTCCCCGCGAAGTGACGCTCCAAGGCCTCGCTGTCCTCGTGTTTACTGCGTTGTTCACGAACACGGACAGGATGTAGGACAGACTTACCGCTAAGCTGTGTGAATTTATCTATTCTATTTCCTTCTTATACCAGGTCCTAATTTTACTGTTTGTCTATGAGTAGGGGCGGGTTAGGGTTAAGTTTAGGGTTAAGTTTAGGGTTAAGTTTAGGGTTAAGTTTAGGGTTAGGGTTAGGGTTAAGGTGGGCGAGACTCCTCCCTATCACAGTACTTAAACAGCAAGGTTAACTATCTGAGGATGTAACTGGAAGAACAGCAACTGTTACCATGGCGACAATGCACGCCGTCCCCCAAGTCCTCTAACCGCATTATCGTCGGGGACAAAGGCAGAAGAAGTGAAGTCACGTCACAGGCCGCTACTCCCAAGCTGTATGGGATCGCAGTGTGTTCCCAGTTCTCTGGGCAGTTTCCATCCCTTGTTCTCTAACAGGCAGGACATTCCGTGTACGACTGGAAAACAAAGCAGTCCTTAACCACGAAAGTAAAGAAAGGGGGTCTATCACAAGGGGATGAGGGGGGGCGGGGAAGAGGTGGTGAGCCGGGGACCACGCGGAGGGCGTGGCCGTCACATGCCGGCTGGACGCTCCGGTTTCCGGTATCTTCTCCCTGTCGGTGTGCCGTACGTGGGCAGGCCCGGCTGGAGGCCTGAGTCAGGGTCTCGCTGCCGCTCGATGTGTCACTGCTGCAACTCCGAAATTCGGGACTTTTTCTCCGCCCCACACATTTTTGCTGTTTTTTTCGGCTCCAGGCCCCCCCCCACCCCAGGTGTATTCAGCCATTAACCGCGATGCTCCCATACTGCTAATGTGGCCCCTGGGGGCCCCTGTCCCGCTGCCCAGCACTGCTCCACCGTTCATCGCCGTTGTTAAGAGAATAAAGTGTCAGACAGACATTCTCTCCATTTGTTGACCTGTCTCCCCCCTGGGGGCCGTGTAAGATGCACAAAGACGCACTGCCGCAACACCCACATCCCAGAACACGAGGCTGGGGGGCCTCCCCACCTCTCTCCCTCTCCCTCTCTCTCTCGCTCTCTCTCCCTCCCTCCGGCCGGGTGCATGAGGGTGGGGCCATCTCACACAGTCACCTCCGTCTTGCTGTTGGTGACAAAATAAGGGTGGGGGGGCAGGTAGTGCTGGCTGCGGGACAGGTAGAGCTGGCCCGACCGCTCCATGGTGCAGTGCTTGCGGGCCCCGTACAGCGAGCGGGGCCCCAGCGTGGCAGAGGCCTCCATGGTGCTCCAGCCCTTCATCATGCCCGGGCTGGCGATGGTGTGTGAGGCATACGCCAGCGGGGGCGGCCCATGGACACGTGCCACCCTTGGCTTGTGCCCATTCTGCTTGGGGACGGGCATGGGGAGGGGGGCCGGAAGGGCGGTCGGAAAGGGGGTCGGAAGGGTGACCGCCAGGGGGGTCGGAAGGGGCGCCGGTGGGGCCACCAGGGGCTCGGGTGCGTAGAAGGGCGGTGTGTTGTGCTGCAGGCGTACGGGGTGCAGGGGCACGGGGTGCAGGGGCACGGGGTGCAGGGGCAGGCTGCCCTTGGTGCTCAGGTCAGTCAAATGCCGGCGATTCACGTAGAAGTTGTCATTGGCCTTTTCCGCTGAAAGGAGACAAAATCAGGTAAGCAGGATGTCCCCCCCCCACCCCGTGCATAGGGGTTAGGGCTAGCACTTCCAAACCATGGCCTCAGCCTGCTCAGTGACAGCTCCCTGACCTTGACATCCGTGCTACTCACCCAAAATGATGCCGATGGCTCCTTAGAAGTGATCGTGGGCTCAGAAAATTCTAGCATTTCAATTTTACCATTCTTCAGCCTGGCACAATGCAAGCGTCTAGCATGTTTCACCCTGGCACAATGCCAGCGTCTAGCATGTTTCACCCTGGCACAATGCCAGCCTGGCCCTTCTTTCTGTACATAGTCACCTTCAAAGGGAACAAATCAAAACCCAAACTTCCAGTGGGGCTTGAATTTCAGCACCTGTTATCAGCCCAGCTCAGGCTCAGTTGGGGGGGGTAGAGGCCTCAAGTCTTTCACTTTGATTAGATGTAGTGTTTCTGTGACTGGGTGCAGACTACGCTTCCTACCGGCCTCTAAGTGAACAAGCGGCGTTACTCTCGAACAATGACACGAAATAAAACACGCCCACGATGGGCCTGTGGCTCGAGGGATTTGCAGAGTGCCGATGGCAGCAGCGTCCCCGTTAGCCTCCACGTCGCACGCCGTCACTCGACAATTCTGTCTGACAGCCTAATAAAAGCTTACATTCATTTGGGGGGAAAGGCTCTGCTTTCTATATCTGCGACTCAGCGGGGAAATAATAGATGAAATGAGAAGATAAAAACATTTAAATGGTTATGAGTCACTGAATAATTCATCTTACCCTTAGCTATGACTCTTTCTTGGTATTTGTCGTATTACTAATTTAATAATTTACCTTCCTCAGTCATTCACCCTTACAATCAATTAAGGTGCCAAGTTCAGGCTTTTAGTGCATGATCCTGGGCACGTGTGTGCTGTGCCACGCTGCCGCTCGCGGGCCTATCTTAGCGTGTTGCGTGTTTGGGCGTGTCCCCTCCATATTTACTGCCAAAACCTTCATGTTTCTGTACTGACGTCTCTGCGGCCAATTGGCGCCTTTGTGTCTCTGTGAGTTGACATCTGCTGCTTCAGTGGTGGGTGTGCAGGCACTGTGGGTAGCTGGGGGTTAAGTTAACACGCTTTCGAAATTAGCTATCTTTATAAAAATACAAATTAGACGTAGTGTTAGATGTTTCCTGCTGGATGCCTCTGGGATACCACGGTACGCTCGCACAGGGCTCAGCCGGCACAGGAGAGGAAGGAAAGGATTCAAAAGAGTCGCTGCCGTTAGGAAGCCAGCTCCCGTAGTCGGCTCAGAGGCAGGGGCTGACGATGAAGGCATGTAGAAGCCTGGCGTCTCCCTAATTAACGACCCATTTGTTAAAAAGCACAAACAAAACCTGCCTGGTTTATATGCAGCTGCACCGTCTCACGGCTCTGCAGATCAGGCCAAACCCAGTCATGTTTGAGGACGCGTCTCCATACAGGGCAGGTCGGGGCGGATCGCGACCCAACAGCCGTGTGTCAGCTGTCTCCTGCGCTGCCGCCGCTCAGCCGCTACTCAGCCGCCGCTCAGCCGCTGCTGTCATTTTCTGTGGCTTTATTTTTGTTTTAAAATGACTGCGGGTGAGTGACAAGCCATTAAAATCTCTCAAAATTGCCCCCAACAAGACTCCGTGGCTCAGTCGCTACACACCCCTCTCTGAAAAACAGAATTTCACAACATTTGGGTTTAATGACCCCAAAATGTTTTAAGCTGATCCCACTCGCAAAATGAAATATCCTCACATACGGCCATTAAGACAAACTCCTTTATGACGAGGTTGCTTCTGTCCAGGTGGTTTGTATAATTAGTACCCGAGAGTGACTGCAAACATGCCTCTGTTTACTTGTTAAGCATCACACACTAAATTATGGCTTCCTAAATCCATCCCTGTTATTTTATGCAGATTTATTTATTTAATATCATGTATTTTTTTCCCCAACTCTAAACCGGTCTTTAAGTGAAATATCTGAAAGCGTTCTGCCAGAGACTCTGCTGCTGTGCGACTCAGAAGGAGCCAGCGTCCAGTACAGTGAAAGGCAAGCGGCCATCTTTAATTACGCCACATGAGAGCCGCCCGGCTTTGGGGTCGATAGCGGGTGACTTCTTTACGTAAAACGTCGCCTGCGTGGGGTATGATACCGGGGATACGAGATTCTCAACTCAGTCATTTTCAAGTGAAATCTGAACGGATTCTTTTTTTGGTAAATGACATTCAAATAATTGGTCCCCTGTTTGTCCAGGGACAGAGGGGGCAGATTCAAATATGTGCAGAGCCTGAGCCGCGGTGCCTATATTAGGGGGCTGCTTCTGCGCACCAGTGTCTGGGAGAAATCCAATACAGTGACCTTATGAGCGTTTGGGGACAGAGAAGCGTCGGATTGATTTCTGGATGCACGGCTTATCAACTTGCCGGCCATGGGCCGAGGTTTCTGTGGGCATGGAAGGGGAGGCCATTATGACAGAAAAGCTGAGGTAAATAACACCAGCTCCCTGGGCAAATGACATGTATTGTTCCATTTTTAAGTGTCTGATCCACGCCGCTGGTGACCGCACCTGTTTATGATTCAGATGACAATGTACTGATTGGGCCACGGGGATTCAACACTGACCGTGTTATTTAAAGCAGAGTGTGAATAATTTAGAAATCCTCGCGGTGAAACTTGAAATATGTTTTTCGTTCGATTAAATTGGTCCTTCCTCCACCCCCGCAGAACCATCCAGTACACTCTGTAACCATAGCGTTAGAAGAATCTCAGCCGTTTTCACGTTCCCACCTGAGCCCCCTAGGGGATTCTATATGAATTGTGGCCCACACCTGGGTATTTTCTCTCTGGGAGCATTAGGCAGGGCCTGGTTAACGTACCTGGGGGGCCCTACGCTGACAGCATGGACGCTCGGCTGCTGCTGATTCCATCTTTCCCAAGGCAGGTCTGTCGGAGCCCTGGGCTATAGCCCGGGACAGCATCTGCATTAACCCCCCCACCCAGCATTATGACGGTGGCCCTAAGGGCCACCTTGCATAGCTTTGCATTTCTTCCCATCTGCCAGAGGTAGCGTCCAATGAGAAGTGCCCAATGAAATCCCAGCTTCTCTCATTGGCTCGCCGGGACACGTGACTTCCTTTGGCAATGTGACACTAGTAGCCTGTGTATATTTGCAAAAAATCCCCATTTTTGGGGATACATTACATTTATAGACCTGGAATATGGCACTAAAATAATCTCCATACAGTTATCCTGCTGTGTATCTAGTGAAGTTCTTGGATGAATGTCGCAGCGCACCCTAATTCCGAAACACAATACCCGGCTCTCTCGCTTAGCGCTAGCTTAGCTTAGCTCATCATAGCTTTGCGGGTAGGGCCAGGTTGGTCCTGATGTGACTGAGAAGGCACATTTGCAGAAGCTTTCTTCCAGCTCCCGATGGATAGTGCCAATCCACTTCCCTGTGCTGATTAACAGAGATGCTCCCAGCCGGCCGTGTCTGTACTAGAACTGGGACCCAGTCTAGCTGTAATTAGTGGCCACGCCGAACTGCCTGCGGGTCCAGTCCAGGCAAATGGTGAGCACATACTGACCCATGCTGGTCCAGGCAGCGTGTGCCGCCACACACAGAGGCCTGAGCAGAGCTCCCCCACCTGGCGCTCTGCTGCACCGCGGTTTCTATGAATAAGAGATGCCTGTCAGACTGCGGTCCTGCTGATGTTCAGACCTGACGGGGCTCCAGGATCGTTACCCACCCCCCCTGCAATCATTGATACAGGTTTTGAAGCTTAAACCTTCTGCAGTTAGAGCTTTAGGTGATGAGCCATTGTGTTTGATCAGTGTACTCTGGCGCAACTGGAATGTGGCTGCTGATTGGATGTTGTAACATCACATGGTGTTATGCTCTTACAACAGGGAAAATCCTGTGACCAATGAGACGGAGCTGAAGAGTGGTGGGACCACGAGCCCCTGGGTCCCTCAGCCCGTCAGTTCGTGGGTGCTGACACGGCCGGCCTTACCTACTGCTTTCAGTGACGCATACTTGTTGAGCTCCTTGGCCAGTGGCGGCTGATTGTAGGTGTGCGTCAGCGGCCCCCCCAGTGTTGCGTACGGGTGCGGCTGGGTCATGGTGGGCACCAGGGTGGGGGTGGGGCCCAGGCTGTTCATGGCGCCATCTGCGGGGAGGACACGGGATGACACAAGAGCAGTTTTGTTATGAGTGAGATCATGTCTGGGTTATGGATGATATTAAAAGCAGACAGATTGGAAGGAGGTAGGAGACATCATGCAGTGCCCTACACAAGCAAAACTGCATAACTGTATATATAAGATCAAAATTGAGTTATAACCGAAATTGGGTCATTCTTCTGTTTTATCTTGTGAAAAAATACTTCCAGCTATGTTGGGTTCTGAATAAAACAGTGTGAGAATGACAGCAACTACAAAATCCACACTAAACCAGGGGCAGAATGTCTCTCTTCTCAGTGTCATTTTCAGCATAGTTACTGTGTCTTGTCTAACAGCAGATGCAGCTTGTCTTTAGAAAAAACAACCTGCCAGCTAGTTCTCCAGCAAACACGACCCACAACGCCACCGACGATCATGATAGGATCGTGCCTGCGGGGGGCGTGGCTTACAAAGGGCCTGCTCATGTGACTGCCTGTCCAGCAGGGATCCAAAACACTGCCGATGTCACATTGACGAGCCCAGATAGTCACACTGGTGCTCTCCATAGGGACAGAAGCTAATGGCATCGCATCTGGTAATGAACATGAGTACCTGAGTATTGAATAGTGATGTTATTAGATTCTTATTTTGTAAGTTGTTATGTAGTTCCTGCTCCAATATTGCTTATATTTGTACCTGGAGATTCATTTTAAGCTCGCTTGTAGGAGTTTTACTTTCACAAAAATGTTCTGAGGGCAGAAGGAAAAATGATTGGTTCAGAGAGATAACCAATCAGATTATAGAGAACGATGCAAGCAACTAAAGGAGGTGGGACAAAAACATCTGATTGGTTGGTCCTGCCCCCTCTAGTTGCTTGGACCCACCTTCACTACAATCTGATTGGTTATCTGTCGGAACCGATCATTTTTTCTTCTGCCCTTAGAACATTTTTATGTAAGGAAAATTGCCATCAGCTGTGAGTTCAGCCTAGCTGTACTTACTCATTGACAGATTTATATTTCTTTTGTGACAAAAGCATCTGCTAAATAAAATGAATGTGAATGTACATACTTTGCAAACCTGGTCTCGGCCGTTAACGGCTAAAGAGTGATCAGTACAGGTTGGTGATGTTTACGCTTCGGCTGTAAACCTGATATTCTGAGCTGTATTCTGAATCCGTCTGCTGGTTTATTGAACCTTTGCTTGAGTCAGACCGACAAGAACAAACAGAACCAAGACAAAGTCAGAACCCCGGAGGACACAGACGATACCTGCAGACGCCATCGAGCTGCTGCTTTAACTAAAGGCAGACCTACGTGCTGTTTCCGGAACTTTCTGAAACATCAGCTAGCGGTTAGCAGTATGGCACATTAAGGGGGACTGAGAGTAGGCTCCCTGTTGTAATTCTTCAGACCTGCTATAGCTGCTTGTGAAGGTGCTGGCTTCACTTTTGCTATTAGTGCTTCTGGATACCCTAAAATAGAGAAGATGTCATCCATAACTCCTGCCTCATCCGCTGTGCGCCGCCGCCCTAATGATAGAGACACGGTTAAGGCTTTTAAGCATCGAAGGCATCATGATTTCAGGCTCCTGTGCCCTTATTTTCCCAGCTCTGCCGGCTCCTTTTGCTTTTGCCATTAATTTAGTGCCGTAAGGTCAGAAGTTCAGGCTCTGGGGAGGTGCAGCCGTGCCTCAGCCTCCTCCCAGGCCGCGTTGCCCGTGGGCACTCGCATGGCAAACCAGGTCATCACGCATCTTCCAAGCCCCCCCCCCTGAACGCGCGCTCTGCCTTTCAGGGTCCCGTTCAGCACACCCCTCATCCTCTGACTCTGGAAGCCATCCTTGCGGTGTAGGAGTTAGGAGGAAAGGGGTATACTATCCAAAATGCCCCTGAGATATGGGCCGCATTTGTATCAATTTACTGCACTTTGGTTACAATTTCGTCCATTTCCTATCATGTGCGTTGCTATGCAACAGTGCATTGTGTATGCATGCAGGGAAGGCTGCACAGCTTTCACTGCGTGTGTGTGTGTTTTTAAATATACCCTTTGTTCTGACAAACAGAGAGGCTTTCGTTTAAATAGCGTAATACACTGTGTGGCTGTATCTGCACTACATACCCACATATAATTCACAGAGCGACAGGGGAGCAGAGGAAATGTACTATAAAAATGCATTATAAAAATCCCAGGCACTGACTAGATGGATGCTGAACTGACATAAACTAATATAATTTCACTTTCGGATAAGATGACAATTTGTCACAGAGTTGATGTCACACGTTCTTAAAATGTCATTGGCTGTTATTGGCCACCTTCCCCTGAACCGATACAGGGAAGGGATTTAAAAACCAGCTGCTCTCTGGATCAGGACCTAAGAGTCCGGCCCACTGGGCCAAAGGTCGTCCAGTCTGGTGAGTCTATCTCAGTCATGTGACACTGCACATTAGTAGAAGGAAGACAGAGAGCCTGCCCTCACTCTCATAAAGCCTGCATTGTATTTATTCATAGACTCATAATTTTGTCTTTTTTTACTCCACACCTCATGTCCCTCTATTGTTTGTAGTCCTTCCTAGAAATGTTTTATTAGAGTGCGATAAAATCTCATCATTATAATGTTTGTTGAAAAAGATGTATGGCAATAGGAAATTAAACTCACCATCAATGCAAAACACTCACAATTTAGCTGTGATGATGATGATGACAAAGATTTATGAATTATGGACGGCAAGGATCCGTGCGGATAACCGGCAGGACTGATGGCCAGTGTGGCTGCAGGTTCGAGTCACATGACTCTGTTGTTGGACCTTGTGAGCTTAATGACAACCCTTTCCATCAGTAATATATGTAACAACATAGATCCCTGTAGGGTTGGAGATCTGAAAGACACTATGAGCTGCTTGAGAAATCTGAACTGCTCCAGAAACTTCCACACCTCCCAGACGTCTGCTGTTACGCCAGACAGTCGGGGCCGGCTGCAGAACATCCTCCGCTTGGAAATATCCGGAAATAGAAGGTACTTACGCAGTCTGTCCTGGGAAATATTTCAGACAAAACAAGATCGCATCGTTTTTAATGGAGACCTGGAGGACTTTCTCCATAAGAGGCTGGCAGTGAGTGGCGAGCTGTCCACTTGTCAGGAGGGCGACTTTAAGGCTTTGAGAGCCTTTAACCTGTAATTAAATCTAAAGACACGCTTTTGAGGCAGACCCGGGGTCAGACAGGCGTGACGGATGAAAGGCGTTGTGGGGAAACCAGTTTGTCATTGACAGAGGAGGCCAAAAGGGAAAGAAGTTTCTAGAAGTTTTTGGAGACTGCTCCCTGACCTGAAACGGAGGATAATTTTTACTGGGAGCAGAGCATCGCTTCCCTAAAGGCTGTGGCGCTCATGCTGAATGCTGGAACTTTCTTCAAAGTGTTCATTGACCGACGGGAACTCCTTCAGTCTTCGGAACTTCATCACAGAGATGTAAAGGCAAATGGTTCTTTGGAAGCCCCCTGACTTGACTTTGCTCTGGGGGGGGGGGGTGTTGATTATGGAGGAAGCTGTCAATGTGATCGATGGTAATATGCCTTGGACAAGAACTGGCATTTGAGCCCATCACGGTCTGTACCCGGCCATAAAGGTTCAGTGATATATAGATTGTACCCCCCCCAGTCCCCCCGTAGCATGCTCTTTATTGGCTTATACATCACAGTCATTAACATTGGATGGTCAAGACAGTAACGGCTAGAGAGGTCATGAGGTCATGATCTTGTGTGGATAAATCAACCATATATAAGCAATATTTCCATCTAATCCAGCACAGGGTTATGAAGTGGTGTGGCGCCAATCCCAGCCAGCAGGGGGCAGAACGCCCCAGGCAGCACAAGGCATAGGCACACACACACTCATATGCTGTGAATAACACCGAACATCACTGACTCTCCTGCCTGGACGGACCTAGACTGCAGGAGGACAACCACTCAACATCGGCAGATGGTGCCGCCAGCCCACACTCGGGGCAGAAATGGGATCTGAACCTGACTTTAGTTGCTTAATTAATTAATTAATCTCCCTGTCTCTCCACCTTCCTGCTGCCCCTTCCAGAAAAAACCGGCTCCTCATTCCAGCTGTCTGCTGGCATCGGATTTTTAATGGCAGAGAGGAGGGGAATTGGGGGGGCGAGGACCCCACAACCACAGAGATCCCCAAAACCTCATTAACAATGCAGAAGGATTATTCTGGGAGTGGGTCGGCCCACAGGGACGAGCCGGCTGATGGCTCCCTGACCCTCTCCCGGATCTCACAGAACATTCAGCCAAGAGCCACCACATCTGTTTTAATCAGAGACGCATAATTAATGACGGTCCATAAAAAACACCTGAAATTCGAGATTTAATTATTTGCGTGAGCTAATTGAGAAATCAAACAGGCGTTTAGTGTCTGTGCATGAATAAGGTTAGCAGGGCTGCGCAGACGGGTTGTGCAGCTGCGCTGTGTCACGGCCCATCTGTCTGCGTGTAATGTGTACCCTGATGCTCGTGACAGCATGCAGGTGGTTAAGCATCACCAGAAGTTCTGTGATTGACCTGCGGGTGGCGCCATCTGTAGTTACCCTAAACCACAGCTTCGGCTGTCTAACGGGTTTAACAGGGTCCAGGGTCTGAGCCTGGAGAAGGTTCTGCAAAAGCTGACTCGGTATCTCACGTGGGGGAGGGGATCAACACAGGGTATGTGAGAGGAGGGGAGATGACTGGACCCGCATAAGGGCCAAACCCAAATCCAGTAATGGATGATGTTCAGCCGCTAGATCACATGACAGGCCTGCCTTAAAAAGTCAGTGAGCAGTATGAACACAGCAGGCCCACGGTTAAGCACTAACACGTCGTCTCACTGATTTCCTGCCAGCCTCTCTTGAGGCTTTAACACAAAAAGAGAGATTTTAGCAATGCGCTATAACGGAGAGCAGTAATGGACATTAACCCACGGCCTGAGTCACTGAGTCACTCATAGACTGAGGCCGCAT